AGCGAGTTCAGGTGCGGGTGGTACGACGACGTGTGGAGATGCATTTCAAAGTCCGTCATGGGCGGGTCGAGGCCCAAGGTCGTGTTGGAGCGCGAGAACCGGTTCGTGTGGACCACCGACGGCATCAGATTGCTGCGGGCCTTGAGCGAACACGGCGTGCAGAGCCGCGTGAGGAGCTCGCCATTGTTCTTGACGGGCACCGACCACTTGCGCGAGCAGTTGCCGCAGACGACTTCGCCGCACGCGCGGCAGTGGTGTCGCGCCCGCACCAGCGTGAACGTCTGTGTGCACACACAGCACTCTCGCCGGGACCTAGCGACTTTTTTTGTAAGAGACGACGAAGATAGCTAAGATTTCACACCGGTCGTCGACCCATTGGTCGCGCGGCAAGATGGGAATCGGCTGGAAAAGCGTGTTGATGAGCATTTCGCGAATGTTGCGCAGCCGATCGGCGTACGCAGAGATGATGCGATCGACGCTAATGCCGAGGTTCTTGGGAAAGTCCATGATGTACATGGCCGTGACTTCGTGGATGACGGAGTCGGGCGCACTCGGCTGCACAAGGAAGACGCCCTTGCGGATGAGACCGCGCTTGCACTTCAGCGCGCTCACGCGGCGAAGGTCCGCCTACGGTATCATGTTGCTGCCTTTTGCGTGAAGGATGGTAGTATATCCTGTACCTCGGGGTAGTCGCAGCTCTGGATGTAGCCAAAGCCACACTGCACGTTCTCGATTGTCTCGACGTCGGCGAATTCTTCAAAGACAAAGTCGGTCGGAGTGCCCATGCGGCCCGTGATGCGGTTGGTCAAGAGGTGCGACGCGTGCCACTTGACGCAGTGGCGCGGGTACGTCGGTAGCTCCGAGATCTCGTCGTCCTCGACCTGGTGCAAGACGGCCGCGTCAACAAACTTGGGAAACATGCGCTTCTCCATGTGCAAGTACTCAATCGGCGACTTGGGCACGAGTGCGTCCATGATGGTCTCGAGATACGACTTGATCTCGACGCTAATGCGGAAGCTCACGCGCGTTGTGAGCGAGTTGCCGTGCTTCTCGCGCTCCAGACGATGGATGGACACCTCCTTGTCCTTCTTGACGAAGCGCCAATCGAGCTGCTTGAGCTTCGTATTGCAGGTCGCCGTGAGGCTCAGGCTCGGCAGCGCCTGCCGGGCGCGGATCGCAATGTCAAACTTCTGCGCGCTCGTGCCATCGAAGGAGCTCGGCCGGACGGGCTCGACCGACTCAAAGTCCAGCTCGTCGACGTCGAAGCGGTCCATGGCAGCAAGGATGACCAGCGGTCGGTCGGTCGCGGGCGCAGTCAAATACTAAAACCCACCGCCAACCGGCGGCCCAATAAAGTACGCCCGGACTTTAACCCACCATGCGTTTTTTACTATAACGCATACGCAAACTCTAAACTCCGGGTCGTGGTGCGATCTGCGAACGACCTAGCACGTTGCGCCGGTCGTCATGCTTCGAGCGACGACCGATGCTGTAGCAACACACCACGAGGAGGTCCATCGGAAGCCATTCCTTTGGGCTGACCAGCTGGCGATCTTGGCGGCATCCACTGCTGGATCTCCTCCGACAGGCCGAGCACCCTCCCGACGAACCCTCGCACCGCCCCATCGCCATTCAGATCTCAACGTCGACGAACGGTAATACCGTAGGTAGATTGTCCAGGATAGCTTGTGCGTGCGCTGCCCTGTCTCGTTCGGTGGTTGATTTTTTGCGCGGCGCGGACCAAAGCTACTCGTGTGTAGCTAGCTACTCGCGCCGTTCCAAGCAGCGATGTTATTTAGCACGAGTGGTGGCGACCATGGCTGACCCATCGACATCCTGTGGTGTAAGGATGGGCGGCAGCAGCAATAACAACAGCCGCGAGTAATACCTCGAAGACGACGAGTTCGACCACCACGCTAAACGACCCACCTGCAGGAGCGACAGGCGATGGCATGACCAGGGTGATGATGATGCTGAGGGCGCCGTGTTCCGAGAGACCGCGTGGTGAAGCCTTTAACGCATGCGAATAATAAAACGTCGATCAAGGCGGTTCTAGATTTTGGCGTGAGTAACGCGTCGCCAAAGCCGCAAATCATCCAAGAGCATGGGCGCGCTGTGCCAGAAGGAGGCTGCACACGACGTCGCCGCGCCCAGCGCCCGGACGCTGCATGTGATCCTCGTCTACTCCAACCCGCAGGGCTATGCGAGCCGGCGACGGCTCTTGCTACAGACGCACCGCCACCTGCTGGCGCTGCAGGCGGCGCTCCGCGGCCATGACCAGCTCGAGATTGCCGTGGCCCAAATCGCGTACGATAGCCTCGACTTTGTGAGCTTGGACGTGATGGGGCAGTACGATCTCAACCTGCGGACGCCGTCGGTGAATGCGATCTGGAGCAAAGAGAACCTCATCAACCTCTCGGTGCGCAACATCCTCCAGCGCACGGCCCACTGCGCCGAGTACTTTGCGTACGTCGACGCCGACATTACGT